CTTCCCTCCTCAAATTCGCTAAAACTTTTTTTTTCAAGAAGATTTGGGTCCCAGAGCCAAGTGTGCGTCCTATTTTGCTAATGGCATCGTGTAAATACTCACTCAATAACTTATTTCTCGTTCAAAGTAGCTCATATCTCGAGTTTCTTGGACGAATACGAAGTATGTGGTAGCTCGAGTTAAGTAGACATTATATTAATAGCTCTTATCTCGAGTTAAGCAGACGTTTTTTTAATAGCTCTTATCTCGAGTAAAGAAGACGTTATATTAATAGCTCTTATCTCGAGTTAAGTAGATGTTTTATACATAGTTCTTATCTCGAGTTAAGTAAACAGTAGACATTATGTTATTAGCTCATACCTCGGGTTAAGTAGACGTCTGCCGAGTCTGTCATATCTCGAGTTAAGTAGGCATTATGCTTATGCTCTTTTCTCGGCTTTGGTAGACACTGTGTTAGTGCTCATATATTGAGTTACATAGTTACAAGGACGTTTGCTTAGTAGTTCGTATCTGATTTCGAGTTAAGTAGACGTTTGATAAGTATAGCGTTTGTCGAGTTACGATTACTAAGTACAAATGTATGACTTATTTCGAGTGGACGTTTGCTAAGTATGACGTATCTCGAGTTAAGTAGACCTAAGTATGACGTATCTCGCGCGGATGTTTGCTGAGTCCCAGGTTATGTAGACGTAGAGCCTTCAATAAGCAACATACTAACCACTAACAAACGAAGAGCTGTGTCCGAGATATATCGGTCAGCTGTCCGGAAATTGCGCTGACCTTTGCTATTGTTGATGATTTCACTTGACAGTGACCTTTGGTGTCAGTGGCCTTGGACATTAGTCCTCACTGACAGAACACGGAGATTTGTTTTCGTTTTCGTTTTTGTTCTTGTTCTTCTTTTTTGTTGTTGTTGTTGTTGTTGTTTCATGTCAATACTCTTTGGGAAGATAATGTCACGAATCGAAAATTAATTATGAGCATTGATTTTGATGCCTGTTGACAAAAAGACGTGCTTAAGCATAATGACAAGTGTTGACAAATAGACGTGTTGATATTGACACTGGTTGACAAATAGACGAGTTGGTAAAGACATATTTTGAGGACGAAGAAACCATGGCGAATGGATATCATGTACAGACGCCCCCCACACACGGGAGCAAGAAATACGAATTCAGAATATGTAAGTTCAGACACGCATGGACTGTCCACTCACGGACAGTCTTATTTTGTCTGACCACGTCAAATGTCCAGTCTGTGTGTAATTGCCAGCTTGCCTGGAAGCTGAGAGTGTTTCAAAATGTTGTCAAGTCTACTGGGTAATAATGATATACGGTAGATTCAAAAGCGCACATAGCTTACTGGTGTGCTGAAATTTGCTCTATGCAATTCATGTCCTTTGTTATTATTATTATTATTATTATTAT